CCGATAGTACAGTAATCCGACACGACAGGAGAGTTCAGGCGTAGTGCGAATAGCTACATGCTTTTCGCACGGGTATGAGACACCGCCACTGAATCCGGGCTGCTACTGAGTTTTTCTTGATAGAAAAACCCAATTAATGAATTTTTGTAACTTTATTAGGAAAGTTACAGCCTATATACTTTCCACAGCTGGGCTACCTCCTTCTATTACTGAGTGAATTATGAAGCAATCTGGCGGACTTAACATCTTTTTAAAATATTTTTACTCTCCAGACTGAGAATATTTTGGTTCTCATCACACAAATAAGCACTAAAAATTGCAATTACCAATCTTGTAGAAGAACACTTGACGTTACAAATTTTAACTGTCACAGATTCCTTGTGCTCTCTGAAACAAAGTTTTTTTTTCCATAGTAGCTTAATATGATAGCAATGTTATTGGTAGTAATGTCAATTCATTGATTCACCATTAGAATATCGGTTTATACGGGTCTTTTTCCTATATAGGTACAGTGTGACTTAGAGTTATTTGGCTTCCAAATTCCTAAAACATTTAGGAAATCTAAAGAAAAAACGTAGTTACATTATCTGATAGTAAAATTGAGAAAGTATCGTCTACATACAGTTTATAGAATCTTGGGTTTACAGGAGCAGTAAGAGGAGCTTTCTCCTCCAAAGTCCACGATCAATATACCGGCAACGTTAGGAGTCACAGGCAAGCCCGTTGCCACACCATCTACTTTCTTGTAAAACTCTTTCTTCCACAATAGGTAGCCAGATGTCAGTATTAGTGTATGAGTAATAATGTATATTGTACGGGAATGTTGTTCTTGTCTAGCTTCCTAGTTGTAATTGAGAAGCAGTTTTTTTATAGGAGAGGGGGCAAACGAGCATGCGACTCACTTGATGTAAATTGGCTACCGCCGCCCATGAACTACTGTAACATGCGTTAGTATCTGCAACTATATTATTGTTGTAGCACGAATGAGTCAGCTCGACCGGGAAGGACGACGCTCTCACAGAACACCAGCGTAAAATAGCAGCTTAATGCTGCTGTGTTTCGTATGGTGAATGTACCGGGTAGAGAACCGGAGACCCGTTTTACTGGAATCGAGGCATTCCATCTTAGTCCTCACGGGTGATAACGCATCTGCGTTTTGATTCTTACTCGAGGTTAAATGAAGATATCTATGGGCCATAGCATCCACTTACCATCAGGTGGACTGTGTGCTCGTTTGTCACCTTATTCTATTTTAAAAAGATATGTGCGTGAAATTTGAAATTTGCGGTGAAAAGTGCGGCGGCCGACGTTAAAGGTTGACTCACGTGTCGGTTCCGAGCCGAGTGTTGGCCGTAGCACGCTCAACTAATGGTACATTTATATTTATATATATATATATATATATATATATATATATATATATATATATATATATATATATATATATATATATATATATATATATATATATATATATATATACTCACGGTATACCAAACGGCAACCGAGTGACGGCCGTGAAACGGACAACCACAGAAATCGTAATATTGTCTTATTACGATTTCTGTGCGGGCAACGCTGGGCAATTACTCGGTCCGGTTTATAGTTGAAGATTTATCAGATTCTTCATCGTCCAGAGCAATTACAATAGCTGCTAATTCCAGATCGTCAAACTTCAACATGATTGTAGTCTAGTAATAACATTGGGTGAGTTTGGCAGAAAAAAGCGCTAGCAAGCGCTTGTAAGCAAAATGGCGATCGTAAGCGGTAAGCGCTGTCAAATCGTAAGTAGCTATTTTCCTCCAGGACACGATGTTAGTTTTAACCAGAGAACCTAACCTAATTTAAATATATGTTTGTAAAGTATTCATATTAAAAACTTACCAATCATGAATTTTTAATAATATATATATGTTTATTCATGTCATTATATTACTTAAAACTAATATTGCACAAAACAATTTATAAACTCTACTTCAAAACAAATAAATTAAATAAGCAAAATGGCGGATTGTGTCAGTGCTACTGAAGTAGCAATCGTGTCCTGGCCGAAAACTATTTCAGCGCTTACAAGCGCTTGCTAGCGCTTTTTTCTGCCAAACGCACCCATTATTTTTGCACATAAACCATTGAGCTATTACGTACTACGTACTAGAGGCGACACTGCATTCAGCTACTATGTTCCACTCAACTGCAGTGCATACACCGCACTTTAATCATTCACTCGCTAGGCGCTTGTAGAGTTGACACGTGATGTGTTGATTTTAAAAAAAAATCTCTTCATAAAAATATGCCGTCGTGTGTACTTAGATATTGCACAAATAATTCAAGAAATGTCAGTAAAAACCAAGGAATTACTTTTCATCGGTTAATAAGATACTTAATCAATAAAAAAGTATTATAGAATAATAATAAAACAAATTATTGCTAAGACGCCATCTCGTGTCATGAAATATAGATTATGAAATTAATATGTTCAGATGCGACATTTCTGTGGATACTTAAGTATAGGACGAATATATTATTATACACATTTTTTTTGTAGAAACATATATAAGTTATAATAATTAGGCTAAATTTTTCATGTTTAAATCTGATTATTATTATTTTATTTTATTTTTAGGTTTCCATATCAAAGTCAAAGTGGAATAAATTCGTCCATATTTAACTTACGCGTGTCCAGCATTTATGAACAACTCTTATTCTAATTTAAATAAATATATTTATAATTTAAATGTTATGTTAATACGTTTTGTTAAATACACATTTAGTATGTTTTTTTATATTTGACGTAGATATCTTTTAAAATATTCGGATAAAAATATCATTAAAATGTAATTGTGATATAATATTATGTAATATTATATTAAATAAGCAAATATAATATACAAAATAAATGACAAAATTTAAATATTGTTCTCGGTATAATTTACCTATTTAACAATGTAAGCTACTATTACCTACGGATCAGTCTACCTATGTTTATTCTATGATAAAAAACCAACCGCGCGAACACAGAGTAGCGCACATTTTTTGTTTGAGATAGCTGTTCTAGTACGTAAGTACATAATACTTCAATGACATAAACCCATTGGTCGCCGTGACCGAAATTCGGTCTGGAGGACATTATTATTATTATATAAGTTATGTATCCTATACCTTTAAACGAGCAATTCGTGTATATATTATATATAATCGGAATCTCGGAAACGGCTCCAACGATTTTCATAAAATTTTGTGTGCAGGGAGTTTCGGGGGCAATAAATCGATCTAGTTAAGATTTATTTTTAGAAAATGTTCAGTTCAGTTTACTAATGATTACAAATAGCTTAATTGGTATGTTGGGCGGTCACAAAATCGTAATACCATGGTTCGAGCCCAGACCGACCGACCGACTTTTTTTTAACTTTTTTTTTCAAGTTCCTTTCTTTTTTTGAGAAAATCTATTTTTCGAGCCCTTTTTTTAGTATTTTTTAAAAACATGAAAATTTAAATTAAACTAATTGCAACCATGATTTTTTATTCAAATAACCAGTTCAGTTTTTTCTATTATGTCGCTAAGATCAAAAAATATTATTCGTATTTCATCAGTATGTAATTTGTATCTAAATATAATTTCCAAAACACACGAATTAAAAAAAAACCGAGCGAAAAATACCGAGCAAAGCTCGGTCAACCGGGTACTCTTATAAATACCAGTAAAACTCATAATTGTTTACTATTGGGATTTTTACTCACATTTTTTTAAATAAATAAAAATAATATTTAAATAATTAATTGATTAAAATTTATAAATAAATTACACATGGTATCTACTGAAATTACATTCCAAAATAATTGAAATTGTAAGTTGAACAAAAAAAAAATTATTATTATTTTATTTAAAAAGTAGAGTTTTATAAAATTAAAACTTAAAATCGACATCCGCATCCGCATTGCGGATGTGAGCCTCTTAAAATCCGCATATGGATCCGAAGATATTAAAATTCTACACATCCGCAAACTGGAACAATCCTGCTTCTAACAACTAGGGCTTACTACATACCGATGAGCTACTTATGTGGGTAGATATGTATACAATTACAGTCGTTTTCATATATTATCTATCTCAATCTTCTTCTTCATTATTATTATTGACCTGTCAAGGCTAGACATGGAGTCTATACCGTTGTGGTAATATTTTTATAAATTCATGAAAATGATAACTATATTATGTAAACGTTAAGTATAAAATGAAACGACAGGCATATTAAAACTCCTCAAATTATTTTATTTACTTCTTTTTTTTCTCCATCAATTCCTAAAGTCCACTGCTTCCTACAGACCTCCCTTTGTAGGAAGAATATGCCTCGTCACGTTTGGCAGGCGAATTGACGATCGCCGTACCAGACGTCCTGCAACTTTGTCGCTTCTCCCTATCGCCAGTCTGGTTATTTTACGTCTAAATGAAATAGTTATTCAGCCATCTATCGAAAGCCATAAGATCTTTTTGGCGTTTTCTATAGTCATTTGTCACAACAACCACGTGACGAACTGCTGTAAAAGAATCTCTCACGCCGCCATCTTACGGTATACTTTTTATTTACCAAATAGCATTAAAGTTCTATTGCGCTTAAGAGTTTAGTGGTAACTGCCGTCCATCTGATGCCAAACAAAAATGGTGGTGTCTGATCTAAGGGAAATGTAATTTTGTACGAAGATGTGATGTGTGAATAAGAGAGCTATTATAATTATAAGTTGTGAAAACCATACACAATACAATATTATCGGTACAGATGCTTTAGTAATACGTGTTCATATATAGGCCAATCGAATACTGCTCATAATCAGTAGAACTACGAGCTAGCTTGTTGCTCTCTTTTAAAGTATCAAAACAACTTAAATTGAATGCGAAATGTGGACATAGCCTCATAGATTTTAACGTCCAAATTTAAACAGTGTTTCATAATTTTCCGGACAAACATCAAAATTCGGGAGTAGATTTTTCAATAATTACAACCATGTACCTCCGCAGACAAAGAATACAGTCAAGAAAAACCTCCTTGAACGCTATAATCAATAGTGAAAAGTGGCGGGTTTACTCTAAAAGAAGCACCCACATAGATAGTGATTTACCAGAAGACTCGACAACCGACGAGGATGAACCGAGGAACAATAATCTAAAAAGCTTGACGGAAGAAATTTTCGGTCGAAAAAGCATATCTGCTGACCAAATCGACCAAGACATAGAAGTACATCTCTCGAGAAAACAGACACTCATTTTAGCTACCATGGTTCCTGATGAAATCCTTCTGTTAGAAAAGTATGGATATATTATGTTTAATTATAACATTTTATTTTCCCAATTAAATAATTAAACAATTTTGACAATTTCGAAAACGATACGGTCGCGAAATATTATGCATTTATGAACCGAAATCGCCATTGTTTAAATTCTTCCTGTACATAGTTAATATAAAAAAAGTTATGTTACATATACACATAATTTTTTTTTAATTTCAGATTTGACGAAAAAGCAGAGCCAAAAAGATTCGTGGGTGTTCTTTTAATGGCAGACGTTTCTGGATATACAGCACTATCCGAACGCTATTCTAATACTGGCAGAGGTGGTACATACCGTCTGACTGTAACATTGAATACATATTTAGGTTCGCTCATTGAAGTGATCTATACTCATGGAGGCGACGTCATAAAATTTGCTGGCGACGCATTTCTTGCACTTTGGAAGACAGATAACCGCACCTACCTTAATCACACAATACACACAGCTATAACGTGTGCCTTAATAATCCAGCATTCTTTTGGAGCCTATGAAACTGATGTGAAAGTCAACCTTAAAGTAAAATTAGCAATTTCAGCTGGAAACCTAATGTTTGTTCCTATTGGAAAAGGTATTGATATGAATTACATTATATTTGGTTTACCAGTACTTGAAGCAAAAACAGCTGAAAGCCTTTGCGTTTCTGGAGAAGTAAAATTAACACCAACGGCTTGGGGCCACTGTTATTCTAGAAATTATGATCATGTTGTTCACGATGATGGTCATGTCACAATTAAATCTATTCTTTATGACCCTCGGGAAAAAGATGTAACTAAACCATTTTTAGGCTTCGGTAATATGATAAGACAAATAAAAAAGCCTTTTATCGGTATCGAAAACCTACCAGAAGAAATTCTACAAACTACTAAAACAAAAAATTACATGGAAACACTAAAAACCAATGATGCACTGAATCTTCGCAAAACAATATTGATAGCTGAAGAAAGAAATATTGGTTCAGAATTACGAAAGTTTATGATCAGACCAGTCCTAACCCAAATTGATGCTCATCAGCCATTGGAATATTTGACTGAAATGCGACAAGTTTCCGTATTATTTATAACAATGAAACCTCGAAAATGTCCCTTTCCAAGACTTTTAACTATAGTAAACAATTCCTACCAAATTACTTGCGAAATTGTTTATAAATCAATGGGGTGTGTCAACAAAATAATTCTTTTTGATAAGGACATTATGATTCTAGTTATATTTGGCCTTCGTGGTTTTAAACACGAGTCTGAAGCTCAAGCAGCTTTGAAATGTGCTTATGGAATAAAAAAATCATTATCAGCTCTAGATGGAGTACTTGAAGTTTCAATCGGCGTAACAACTGGGCAAGTATACTGTGGTGTAATAGGTCACCCACTTCGTCGAGAGTTTACTGTTATCGGAGCTGTTGTAAATAAAGCCGCTAGGTTTATGTGTTACTTCCGTAATAAAATAACTTGCGACGAGGCAACTTTCATTAAAAGTAAAATGTCTAACAATGGTTTCACTCTCCAACCAAACGTTAAATTGAAGGGTATAATTCACCCTGGGAAAATTTATGAATACACGGAAGAAATAAGAGTTAAAGAATTATATAACATACCGGTAATACCGCCGCTTTTAGATCGAATAGATGAAATTGAATATTTTAAAAATTGGATAGATGAGTGTCATTTACCATTCAGAAACTTTGACGCACTTTTATTGATAGGCGAATTTCGCGCTGGAAAATCTAGAATTCTAGAGTGGTTGATTCGATATGTCAAAAATAAGGGGCTACGCACTTGTTATCTTAGCCTTTCGTCTATTCATTCGGCAACACCGTATTTAGCGTTAGGTCAAATAATTGATCAAATGTTAGGATTAAAAGAACCTATTACTGGATTTTCAAAAGAAGAAAAGATTGTAGAGTTACTAAATTCCCACAGTACAGACCTATGTTATTTAAACAATACTATTAAAGTGCGTTTTGCTTACCAAGAAGGAATTTACGCACAAGATGAAAACATACGGAATCAAAAAACCAAAACCATATTTAAGAAGTTAATTATGGCTTTTCCTGAACCTCAAGTCATATTTTTAGATGACCTTCAAAACTTAGATATTCCTTCCTGGGAATTTTTATCCATCATGTTAAATGCACCTAAAATATATACTGTATTTACAATAACACGTGGAAAAATTAACAGTGTACATAGTTGGCTCTATAGTGTATTTATCAACAACGGTATAAGAAAAATTGTTCTAGGTGCACTGCCTTCAAAATGGATACCTCCGTTAGCCTGTCAAATTCTTGATGTTGAGGCAGTTCCTTACGATTTATGTGAAACACTAAAAACGAAATGTAAAGGACTACCAGGTGTAGTAGAAAGTTTTATCGTACACTTATTTTCAAACGGGGCCTTAGAAATAAAAAAAATTCCGAGGTTTGAGTTAATAAATTTTAAAAATGAAGATCTTCAATTTCCTGATCCTTGTTTATTACGTCCACAAGCTGTAAATCTAGAAGATCAACAAAATCTTGATCAACTCATAAATGAAAGTTTAACGGATGAAATAGCAATTTGTATCGTCACAAAGAAAGAGGAATTGAATACCGATATCAACGTACAAAATCTTGACGCTATAATAATGATCCAAATTGATTCTTTGACACCCTATCAACAATTATTATTAAAGATTGCCTCAGTAATAGGTGATATACTATCACGAAATCTGTTGGAAAATATAATGTATGAGAACAATCCACTAACAACAGCTAAAGCAATAAAAAGATTATTTGCTATGCGCATTCTGATATGTGCAAATGTTAGAAACCGTTTTAGCCAAAGAACAGCTGCGAATGTCGCATCATCCACAAGTTTTTCTACCGTTGCAAATCTAACATGCGAATGTTCCTTTGATTATGATCCAGAAGAAAATGAAAACCTCCCTAAATATGCATTTTGTAAAGTTATGAAATTCCGGACTAAAAATTCAAGGAAAACCTGTTATGATCTTCTACCCATTAACCAAAAAAAGAATTTCACTCTCGCATAGTAAACTATCTAGAACAAACTAAACAAAAATGTCCTAGTTGTGGAGGCACTATTATGATAGTACAGTCGATTACGAACATTCCAGTGCGGTCGTATGAAATTCAAAGATTCACCGATAAGAATCAAAATGCTAAAGATGATGATCGAAATTTATCTGAACTAGAAGAAGAATTAGAAGTGGCAAGTATAGACATCATCCAAAATTCATCTGCTATAAAAAACGATGCCTTTATAAATGTAAGACGGGCAAAATCAGTATCCTTAAATAAAGAAAAATTTGAACTTAAAACGACCATAAGCGAAATCAATACAAGTTTAAAGCATCATGAAAAAAATAACTCTCAACTTTCAACTTCAATGAAACCTAAAAATACAGATAAATTTATCAGAGATTCTAAGTCGACTAAAAGAGTAACGTTGTTAAGTTTTTGTGAAGAAACTAACAAACTTTCTGATGATAAAAAATTAAATTTTTTTGATATGTTACGTTCAGTTACCGAAGCTAACACTATGAATGATTGGCATCGTTTGGGAGTTATTGACAGCATTGATAATATTGATGAAAATAGTAAAAGATTTTTTAACCTTAAAATAGAAAAAGGAGTTTCAAAAACAAATTTTGAAAAATGTTCTTGCATGGAATTAAATATCACTATTAATGAACAACTTATTAGCCATGCCAGAGAAGCAGATTTAAAAGTTAAAGTAGTTGAATTTCTTTTAAAATATAGTTATATAAATTTGTTGGCCAATAATTTCGATTGTGTCTTTTCGAAACTAGAAGAAGCAGAAGAGATTTGTTCTGAAAAACAGGTGCTATGTTTGTCTAATTTCGAAAAACGTAGGTTTTTGGGAAGAATATATTCACTAAGAGCAGCTGCTTTATTAATGAGTGGAAAATTATCAGCTGCAAAAATACATATAGAGCGTGCAATCAAGGTGTACGGTTTCAGTCTTGATAAAGTTTCAGAGTTTTTCGATATGAGAAATTTTACATTAAAGCGTGGAAAATATTTTAAGCACTACATAATTATGAAATCAGATTCGATATTTTGTCTTAATATCACAACTTTATTATTTTCTGCTTTAGGAGATGAAAAGGTTTCAAGGATATCCGCACTCCGTGCTTTAAATTTAACACAGAAAGTAGAGTGTAACGTCGTAGATTTATGCAATGCGTTCAGTAATGCTATACAAGTAGAACTAGTTCGTGGAAATGCCGAAATTACAGATGAAATAGAACAAATGGCAGTTCTTAAATTCAGAAAATTATTACGACCCATACAAGCAGAGGAGATGTTTGCGATTGGGAAATTTTTCATGTCATCCTTTCGTGCTAGAATAGCACGCGGTAAACTTGCTGCCTCGATTCGTTCGGGTTTTAGAGCTCTTGTCATTAGTCGTTTTCTCAATGCTTACGATATTTCAATTGACATTATACCTGATCTTTTTTACATTTTATTATCTAGACGTCGGATTATGGAGGCTATTAACGTTCTTAAGTTATCATTACAATTAAGCTACAAACAATCAGCAACAGAGGGTGAAACGTGGTATTATGCCCTTTGCATGGATCTTATACTGGACGCAGGTTTTCAGTTGGAGTCACCCAGTGAGATAAGTCAATTTGCAGAACTTGCGTTAAGAAAAGGCGTAACAGCAGGCCCAAGCAGGCGAAGACTAATTATTGGTCTATGGACATATTGGCAGCGTGCAGATGTCGATCGTCAAGCAAAGCTATTTGAGTCAGAGGCATTAAGTTGGACAGCTTACGAAGAAGATGATGGTTCTTTGACCAATATCTTAAGTGCACTGAGATTAGCTGAAGGAATGCTAGAAAGCTTAGCCAGGAAAATGGATGACCTCCGGAAGGTGGACACCAGATTTATAAATTTTTTTATTGTAATGATCTGTTCATTTCATTTTATTATTCATTTTAGGTGGTTGACTTGATGGAGCTTCGATCAATAGCTGACAGGGAATTAAATAGACTGGAAAAAGACGCTCGTCTTTTGCGAATAATTTATCCAAGGTGGATGTTATTAAAAGCAAACTGTCTTCTATTATCAGGCCGGCAAAATCCAGCAATAAACTTATCTAACCACGTTAGTATTCTTTCTATATTTCTATCGCTTACTGACAATAGAAGCATTTCTGAAAGCAATCTTTCCCCAATGCTTAAAATAATGCTTCATGATATTGATTACTCTCATGTGGGCAGAACACGTCTCATCCGAATGTCATAACAATGCCATGAAAAATCAAATTTACTTTTAATTGATATCTACTTCCAAAAATCCACTGTGTGGTGGCGGTATAAGAATATCTACCACCCACTAATGACCACTAATGATTTAACAGCCACTTTTAAAGAGGTTGTGTGTGTGCGTACGTGCGTGCGTGCGTGCGTGAGTGCGTGCGTGCGTGCGTGCGTGCGTGCGTGCGTGCGTGCGTGCGTGCGTGCGTGCGCGTGCGTGCGTGCGTGCGTGCGTGCGTGCGTGCGTGCGTGCGTGCGTGCGTGCGTGCGTGCGTGCGTGCGTGCGTTGTGTGTGTGTGTGTGTGCGTGCGTGTGTGTGTGTGCGTGTGTGTGTGTGCGTGTGTGTGTGCGTGTGTGTGTGCGTGTGTGAGTACGTGTGTGTGTGCGTGAGTGTGTGCGTGTGTGTGTGCGTGCGTGTGTGCGTGCGTGAGTGCGTGCGTGTGTGCGTGCGTGAGTGTGTGGGTGCGTTCGTGCGTACGTGCGTGCGTGCGTGCCTGCGTGCGTTCGTGCGTGCGTGCGTGCGTGCGTGCGTGCGTGCGTGCGTGCGTGCGTGCGTCCGTGCGTGCGTGCGTGCGTGCGCGCGTGCGTGCGTGCGTGCGTGCGTGCGTGCGTGTGCGCGTTGTGCGCGTGCGTGCGTGCGTGCGTGCGTGCGTGCGTGCGTGCGCGTGCGCGTGCGTGTGCGCGTGCGTGCGCGCGTGCGCGTGCGCGCGCGCGGGCGTGCGCGCGCTGTGCGCGCGCGCGTGCGCGCGTGCGCGCGTGCGTGCGTGCGTGCGCGCGTGCGTGCGCGGTGCGTGTCGTGTGCGTGTGCGTGCGTGCGTGCGTGGCGTGCGTGTGCGGTGTGCGCGCGTGCGTGCGTGCGCGGTGCGTGCGTGCGCGTGCGTGCGCGTGCGCGTGCGTGCGTGCGCGCGTGCGTGCGTGCGTGCGTGCGCGTGCGTGCGTGCGTGCGTGCGTGCGTGCGTGCGTGCGTGCGGTGCGTGCGTGCGTGCGTGCGTGCGTGCGTGCGTGCGTGCGGCGTGCGTGCGGTGCGCGCGTGCGTGCGTGCGTGCGTGCGTGCGTGCGTGCGTGCGTGCGTGCGTGCGTGCGTGCGTGCGTGCGTGCGTGCGTGCGTGCGTGCGTGCGTGCGTGCGTGCGTGCGTGCGTGCGTGCGTGCGTGCGTGCGTGCGTGCGTGCGTGCGTGCGTGCGTGCGTGCGTGCGTGCGTGCGTGCGTGCGTGCGTGCGTGCGTGCGTGCGTGCGTGCGTGCGTGCGTGCGTGCGTGCATGCGTGCGTGCGTGATTAGTTATTAAGCGCGCGTTTGTGTTGTTGTTTCTGTAATAACGAAATAACTGCCTTCTATTAAGTTCAGGGGGCTATTCCCATGCTTTTAAAACATGAATGTAAAACCGTTTTAAAATGTTTGTCTGTTTTAAAATGTTTTAAAACCGTTTTAAAATGTTTGTCTGTCCGTCTGTCCAGGCTAATCGAAGGCGAACCGATTGTGATAAAACATCAATAACAGATAGAGAGCAAAACAAAGTAATCTAATAGGCTATATTTTATCTGAAGAACATGGAGGATTTTTCCGTAAAACCCAAAAATTTATTGAAATAAATGCTTTCTGATGATTATCTTTAAAAATATAAGTAAGAGATATAAAAAAGTTTTAAACTAAACTTTTTTCGTTTGTAAAAGATCATCACATCAATCTTCTATCTCTTAATTTTTTAATACAAATCTATATTTAATCTTTTTTTACTTCAACACCATTTTACAACAAAAAATAGAGTGTTATAGGTCACAAACCAATAACGGTACTAACGTAGTTATAGGATAAAGTGATAAGACCTTTTTAAACGTGACTTAGGATTATTGTTTGACGTTAAACTTGACTTTCATAACCATGTGACTATTGTATGTAAAAAGGCCAGTAAATTGCTTGGCTTCGTTATTCGCACTTCTTCACAGTTCGATAGATTAGATGTCACTTTGGTACTTTACAATGCATATGTTCGTAGTAAGCTAGAATACGGTGTCATTGTATGGAATCCCTTTGAGGAAAAATATATTTTGATGATATAGAGAATACAGCGCAAATTTGCACGATGGCTATATAAACAGAAATACGATCTATACTTAAAAACTATGCAATAACATACTACCTCATCCTAATATAATAGTCATATATTAAGTATAGTAGGCTTCAAAGCGGCTGGGCTATGATGTGGAGGGGACGGTGGCACCACGGCGGCGGCCGCGTCTTCTATGGAGGCCGCCGGCGCGCACCAGGTACGGCGCTCACGCGCCCACTTCTCGCGCTATACGTTTTATCGGAGACATGCTCGCAGATGATAACGAGACTGACTTATTTGCTGATAGCTTAGGGCAACTGTGTAATAAAGCCCTTCTATTTTTGACACATTGTAATATATTCTTTTAATCTTATCTTATGTAATCAATCTGACAATGACATTTTGCTTAATTTATTTGACATGTAATCAATGTATTTGGCATGTATTTTTTTAGGTATTTGTTTGATCTATTGGACATGTATTCTTTAATTTGTTTGACCTTTTGACATGTATCTTATATTATTACTATTATTTAAAACTGTAATTTGTAAATTAGCATGCTGACGTTTTAGGCATACTGTAAGCCAGCATGTACACTGTTTTTAAAATATAAATAAATAAAGTAAAAGTAATGGATCTTAAATTTTCATTTTTATTATTTAGGCTACAGAAGAAGCACGACGAATACATAGTCACTTAGAAGAATCACTAGTACGTGCTTCCTTATCTAACTCGCGCTTTTGGATTCAAAGTGCACGAGCTGGAAATTTTATGAAATGGCAAGACGGTTGTGAACATGCACAGGTGGCCTGGTATCAAATAATGTACAAAATAACTACAAAACGATAAAAAGTAAAATTAATTAGGTAAAATATTATTTAACTATTGTTATTATTTTGAAGTCTTTATAAAAGTATTCTCATGTGGTTGGGCTGAATAAATGTATAAAATGAAATGAGATATAAAAAAAAAATATATATATATATATATATATATATATATATAAAACGAAGCCCGAAATCCTCGAAATTTGTGTTTTGGCACAAATGTTGTCTCCCGGTAGGATTGATTGATCCTTGGACCCGCGACTGCTAAGTCTGTGTAGATAAATATGAAACCATTACCCTTTATATAGAATGCAATTGACAAACGAGCACACAGTCCAACTGATGGTAAGTGGATACTGTGGCGAATAAACTACTATTATATACACTATAGATAGATGGCTACATAATGGTTGTAGCACAAATCTTCGAACACGCTTTACAGAATACCATGTAAAATGGTAGATGCTTCGTTTTTACCACCTGAGAAACTATGATCGAACGCCAATTGTTGCATGTATATATACATGTAACATGATTAACGCACTTTGAGAAAATAGTTTGTTCAGAATCCTTTACTGAATCGATTCCATCATTTTTAATATAGGTAATTTTTATCCCAAAAATAATTAAAACTACGTAAATTACAGTCACACTAAATCTGTACAGTCAAAACAAACTGAAATGAACCGTAACTTAAGGCAATAAGACTTTTAAGAGTGCAGTTTTATTTGTATTATTACTAATTCTGTCATTCAATAAAAATAAAGAAAAATGAACTTTATTTCAAGCACGTTAAAGTCTTTGCGTTAATGGATTCTTCCGGAATTAGTATAACTCAACTAAACTAAATAATCAGTGTATAAAAATGTTTCACTAAAAATTCAGTGTATGTATTATGATTATAACATAATATACTAAATAAAAATGGGTCGTTTCATTCCGAAAGAGCGCGACCACAAACACGCGTACTGTTATTTCTATTTTGTTTACTATGATTATATCTGGTCTGTTGAAGTGGATTGTCTTGTCTGTCAATATAGCTCTATCGAAATATAGGTAACTTATATGTTTGGTTTTCTAAGATAGTTTCAGGAATATATTTATAGTAAGGTGTGCGTGCAGTTAAGATGAGATTGATTAATGATTGATATTAACAACCTGATCATGTCTATATTTATCGTCTTTTTGGACTATTGCTTTACATGATCTAGTGATGAGTTGTATGATTTCTAGAGCGCTTTTACATTTACGATAAACATCAATTGTATTTGGAATTTTCATTATATGTTTTTTGTAATTTCGAGTTTCTATAACTTGGTCCTGAATAGTGAAGATAAATCCTTCCGTCTCGGGAAACAGTAGTCCACACTTAGTCTTCGTTCGATGCTAACCTGTCGACGTGGTCTTAGATCTTGATTGTATCTCCCGTGTAAAGGCTTTTGGGCCCATTCATTTATCTTAATTTGGTTTCTTACTTGTTTCTCGTTGTTTTGATTATTTCTGTTCTTTAAATTAAGCGGTGTAAATTTGTGAACATTTGGTGCTATCGCAATACGTAAAGTGGTTTCTTTTAAGTATGTTTGAAGATTGGAGATCTGTGAATTGTGCAGGTCTGATATATCTACAAGACCCCTGCCTCCTTCAATTCTAGATAGCGTCATTCTCTATACACAAGATCGGAGGTTATGCTTCCTATAATTCAAGCATGAGAGACAGAATCAAAAGCTTTTTGATAGTCTGATAGTAGATGTATAATATACATAGTATATTAATCTTTCTTTATTCGTTGCACTTGTTTTAATATCACACAGTCTATTATAAGTTGTTCTTTGCACCCTTGACCAGATTTGTGTAAAGCTTTTTGTTCTTCAGCTAAAATGTTATTTTTGTTAATATGAGTGTAAATAAGCTGACTAATGGAACCTGTGATAATTTTATAAATTGTTTACAGCCATGTTATGGGTCTGTACTTAGCTGGATTGGTAAGGTTATTTTGATCTTTAGGTAACATGTAAGTACTCCAATATATGATCAGACATTATGAAAATGTTCTGGTTCTATTTAATAAGTATTTTCTTCAATAGTCCCTTGATTATTAATGGATAATTTAAGATTTCTTTTCATTAATTGTGAATTGTTTGTTTTGTATTTGCATTTTGCAAGTTTTGTTACATGAAGAGTTGTATGAATTCTGTAATTGATTAGGATATTTTTAACATGTCTATTTAATTTATTGATTCTATTTCCGTTTACACTTTGTATTCACGTCTAATCTGCCATTTTGGTTTATTGTTAATTTGACGTAGAGGACGTTGATGTGATTATTTTTGTGGGATATTTACGTTAGCTCCATTAGCTTGAGCAGCAGTCGATGCTGCACAGTAACGAATTGTTTAAAAAGCGTTAAAATTGATATCACTGTTTACATGTGTTGGTAGAATGTTTGTACTTATGTAAAAAAATGTAATTAACTACATTTGTTAATTTCTTTGAACATGTTTGTTTAGGAATAAAATTCTGCTATTTAGGGTGTGAATTTTGATGTGTTAATGTTTTGGTAAAAATTTTGTCAAATCCTTCGTTTCTTTCATTGCTATTAACAAAACTTATGCTGTGATTATCTGTATTTGTGTATGTTTGTCTACGAAAAATTGTAACTTTTTTACATTAGTTATTTTTGTGAAGGATATATCATTATGAGCTGTATCGTTGTTAGCCATACTAAATAATAATTCTTCGGTTGACCATACCGCACGTCTCCTTTGTGGTTGCGTTTCACGTTTCACATTACAAAATTCTTTTTTTTTATTTGATTCAATCTCTCTACCGTTATATATCTATTTTAAACTATTAATCTCCTCTGATCCGCTATCCTCTATTCAGAGATGTGAGAGGTGACGAAAGTTTTCAGTAAAGGCTTGATGCAGTGCTGGTCTGTATGAGATTATTTCCTAACAATGTGATTTTAAAATATCTTCTCATGATATATTCATATTGTTCTGTAGCCCATCTCATTCTTTGAGTTCGTGATTTGTGTTTTTGTTGAGTTTTTCAAGTATTGGTTCTTGAGAAGTTAGTAATGGAATAGAGCTGTCTTCAACCGTCTTTTTTAACACTGTCATATTCGGAAATTTCTTCATCTCTTCAGTCCATCCCGCACAATATTCTCAAGGGAGTTTAAATTTACATTATAGCTAAGTGTATCTATGTCCGAGGTTCCCGCTTGGGTCATTTGACGGGAAATCTTCCTCACCCGGAGATTGAAGCGCATCGAGACTCGGCGCCATTCTTCCTTTATAGTCGGCTTGGCTACTGAGCCTGCCGGCAACTAGAAGCCGTGGTTTACGTCGTGCTATCATTTTTCTATCTAGTTTGGGATCGTTAGTTTGGGAAAGGATTGCCGAGTTATATTGGGCAAGTAGTTCCTCCTGTCTTGTTATTATTGCAGGCGGATACACAAACTAGATATTATAACTGTTAATAAATACCCCGTTTCCCATAAGTCCACGACAAGGTAATCCCCGGGGAGGGGGGATAGTATTATTGTTATTATCATCATCATCATTGCCTCCATAGGCCTCCTTCAAGGAATGCCACAAAGCACGGTCCTAATCCAACTGCATCCATCGATTTTCTGCACATCTTATGGTCGACACTCCATCTAGCAGAGGGCCACCCTACACTTCGCTTACCTGTACCTACAAGACTGCCACTCGAAAATATTTCTGCCTCATCGTTTGTCGG